CCCCAAAACCCCAAAACCCCAAAACCCCTAGAGTTAATTTTCTTAAAAAAATTAAGAGAAATAAATTTCGTAAATTAGTTATTAACTTGTAGTTATTTTATATTATTTAAATTCAAAAGTATTAATGTCGAAGAGATAATTGCAAAGCCAAATTGATGAAGAAACGTAGAGAATCTAGTTGCAAATTATTGAAAATAATCGACTTGTAAAAAAAGTGACTTATGATAATCAAGAGTCATTTTACATTGGAAATATACTAACTTAGAAAATTGTAAAGTGAGCTTTACTATTGTATTAGAGCAAACTCTACGACAGATAAACAAGTTCTCACATAATAGATGAAATTGAATAATAATAGTTAGAAGCGTTAAGACCAGAACTATTCAAGCATGATTAGGGAGAACTAAAAAGATTTAATAAGTTACTAGAGAGCTAGTGGATCCCTGACGAAGAAAGTGTAAATATCATTCATATAAAGATTCTTAGGCTCCTCCCTTAATAGATGTTTACATGAGGCAATGGCTAAACCCTATTTATAAAAATGTCGTTGTTAATAAAATTGAAGAGGGCAGTTCGGCAAAGAAAAAAAAGAAACATTTTTTTGGAAGAAAGACTCCAAATAGATTATCCATTTAGGGAGATTTCAATCCTCTATAAGTTGAATTATCAGAGGTTTAGGTGCTTGATACCAATAATGGGGTTGAAGAGAAAGTAAGATTAAAGAAAGAATAAGAACGATAAAAGCAATTTGAGGAAAAGCGAGTTGAAGAAGAACAGTTAAAAGTACAGTAAGATGCATAAAATGAGCTAATGAAATAGTTAGAAGCAATAAAGGGAAAGAGATTCACATTTGATTAAAATGGTAACATCTTGCTACAAGACAGTTTAAACATGAATAAAATTCCAAATCCCCTTCAAAATATAAAGGTCTAAAGTATGAATGAAACTGTCAGACTTGGAAATAGATTTAGTAAAATTGAAAAGAATGAAGGCCCAAAAATAAAAACTCCTACAATTAGGGATATGTTGTAAACAATGCCTATTGTGTTTAATAGACCATAACCAGCACCAGGAGGATCATTCTTTGATTAAATTAATCCTTCTATTGGTACTAAAATATAAGAGGGCAAAAGGATTAAAGAATCTGACGAGAAGTATGAAAAAGTTGTCGGTAAGACAAGCAGAGCTAGTTATCTTGAAAAATAAGAGAGAGTGGGTATGTTTTAGAGTAGTATGAAGGATAAATATCAAAACAAGAATGACCCTAATCAAAGTTATAGGAAATATAATCTTGGTTTCGTTGAAAAGATTAGTGATCGAGGAGAATAGGAATAATCTTCATTAGCACTTGACCTTAAAAAATCTAAAGGGAGAATATACTTCAAGAAACCATAAGCACTAAATGAGCTTTTAGTTAGCAATAAATAATAGAAGAATTTTGCAATTAAAAATTAGCTTAGTATTTCTAAAGAAATTCTTGTTTTAGATAATCACTCTAATAGAAGCACACACAGAGACAACTAGAGAATGAATATAATAGATCAATTTCATGGATCATAAACAGAAAGATCCACAATTGATTAGAGGACATTAAAGCAGTCAAGTAATATATTAACTAATTTAAAATCTGCAGCTTCAGTAAGGCCGATTTAGACACAGTAAATGAGTAGGACTTAAAAACTAAAAGGTGGCAGTTAAACTCATAGGGAAATGGCCTGCTCTGATTTAGAATCAAATTACTAGCTAACAATGGATTAAAATACTGATCCAGTAAGGATAAGTAAAATGAACTAGATGATTATTAATTGTGAAAAGTGGGGATCCTCATCAGGAGCACTAATAATTGAAAGTGCTTTTCATTTGAAATCAAAGAAAAATTAAAAACATAATGACGATAATGCAAGTTCCTATCACCCACTCACTGCTAGATTAAGCTCGAGAGAGACACCAAGATCATCATATATGACTAAAAGAGTTAAAAGGATATAAATGAATAACAATAATTTGGATTAATTAGCTGCAAAATAATCACATGAAGTAAGAGGAAAAACTTCGCATAGCTCAAATAGGGGTTCTACATAAACGCTTTAAGTTTAGTAAGCACTATTTACACCCGAAAGTTCCAGAACTTATTTCAAATTTGAAGATATCAGATAAGAGTAGAGTATTAATAACAATAATAATAAGGCTCCAGGAACTAAAAAATTTACCAAAGAAATCATTATTACATGACGATTGTCCTCATAAAATCATAATTTAGTTTAATTAATTTAATATTGTAATCGAATATTTTGATAATATTTGTCTCATGGGGTTTTGGGGTTTTGGGGTTTTGGGGTTTTGGGG